CCCACAGAGATCCACCTGCCTCTGCCTCCCGAGTGCTAGGACTAAAGGCGTGCACCACCAACATTCGTCTGGAATGCCCTTCTTTTATCTGATACAGCAAATGCCTTTCAATTATTACCCCCCTTCCTGAAGTGTCTCTCTATCCCTCTACAAGCCAGAACTCTATTCTTGCCATAGACAACCCCTGTCGATGAGTGCACAAACGTCCTGGGCACATCAGTTCTACAGCATGTGGGATGGTACCTTTAGTGTCCTGTGTGTTTAATGACATCAGAGCTAGGAGGAAGGAAGAAGTGGGTGGCAGTGAATAGTGCCTCCTTCCCTTCTGCAGTGCTGAGTGGCAGTCTAATTGACCTGTGGGTGTTTCTAACTCACAGGAATATGACTTTTGTCTTTCACAGGCAAGGTCTGCTAAGTCCTTTCTACCCCGGCTTGGCCTTCTGCTCTTGAACACTCCCAGCAACACCAAGAAAAGCCCCTTTTAATTCCTCTGTTTTCCACACTCCTGCACTCCCACAACTAGCTAGGCAGTCTCCTTGATTTCTACTAAAAAACATTTTTCCCCAGAACTGAAGTTAATGTTTCCCAAAGTGTATCTGGTGCCCCTAGTTCTGGGAACAGGTTTGTGGGGGAAAGACTCCAGCAAGAATGTGTTCCACATGTTCAATGCTCTGTGAGTTTCTTCAGGGAAAACACTTGGCATCATTGAGTTACTGCACACATGCGCGCACGTACGCACACGTTTTAACTATCAAAGCTGCAGAATGTAATTATATAATATTTTCATGGGTGATGGAGATGTACAAGAGTATTTCCGGAATAAGCTGAGGAAGAGCCTGCTGTATATAGAGATATTTAACATGTATATAGAGATAAATAATACCCAGTGGCACAAAACCACAGTGGAAATACAGTTACCTGTGTATGTGTGTGAATGTGTGTGTGTGTGTGTGTGCGTGTGTGTGTGTGTGTGTGTGTGTGAGTGTGTGTGTGTTCCACTCCACTTTCCATCCCTTACCAGTCCCATTCTATAGACAGAGCAAGAGTCCCACTAAATTCACAGCTACTAAGTGGCAGGAGAGACTACTAAGTCACAGGTCTATCCTTCTCAAGCTGCTCACAGCCACCCTACTCTGTTGATGCATGATCCATGGACCCCTGCAATGCTGGCTGTTACACAGTACAGCTAGCTCTTTCCATACAGCATCCCACTCAAAGGCCTCAGTAACCATCTGGAGCAAGAGTTATAACTGACGTCTCCAATCACCTTGGTAGGAAGCAATCTGTCTCTACATTATCTTTCCATCCTAAAAGCTTGTTCTAGAGCCAATTAGCATTCTCCCAGATACCTACTAAGGCTTCCACATGGCTATTCCTTTGCAGACATTCCTTTGAGAAGTCTGAAGGAAGGATTTGGGGAAAGCCTCTCACCCAGCTGCCCATCAGCCCAGGATCAGCTTCTGTGTTTGGAGAAAGAAGGCATCATTCATGGTACACGCCTACATCAAGGTAGCTTTTAATGCTTTGTATTAACAAAAGTTCAAGAACAAGGATAAGAGACTAAAGGGGTCTATAATTGAGTACAAGCAAGACTGTCACCCATTAGGAAGAAAAGCCTGTGATGTGTGGGGCTCACTTGCTGTACTCTGAGGAAGGAACCCACTTAACGTAGAATTGAAGTTTTATAGAAACTGAGTACGGCATCTCTCCTACCAAAGCATACAAGCTAGCATTACAGTGGAAGGTAGGATAGAGGCCAAAAGAGTGTCTGCCATTTTCCTGTTTTCTTAGAAGGATCATGATGGATGAATCCAGGCTGACTAAGTCAGGGTCGAGAAGAGGGTGCTGTAGGTTAGATGTGGTGTTTCTCTAAGGGGTTAAAAACTGGGAACTTGACCCCTGCCCCAGTGTGAGAGTATTGAAAGATGAAGAATGCATTAAGACAGTGGTTCTCAGCCTGTGGGTCAAGACACCATTAGGGGTTCACTGACCCTTTCACAGGGTCACAGATCAGATCATGTGTCCTGCATATCAGATATTTACATTATGATTCACAGCAGTAGCAAAATTATAGTTATAAAGTAGTGATTAACATAATTTTATGGTTGGGGTCATCTCAACATGAGGGCTTGTATTATAGGGTCACAGCACTAGGAAGACTGAGAACCACTGCTTTAAGAGGTAGGGCCAGGGATTGGTTACCACAAGTGTAGCTGTTACTAAGGGAGCCTGGCCCTTCCTTCAGTCTCTCCCATGTCTTAACTCCTCCTGACCACACTTGTGTAAACCAAGTTGTGTGATGTTATGTGCCAAGCTTTGAGACCACTCAAGATCCTCACCTGAGCTCGGGCTTTCAACTTCCCAAACTGTAAGCCAATCCCTACTCCACCCCTACCCCCAATTTTATAAAACACTGGTCTTGGTTTGAGCAATGTGAAAAGCTGAAGGAGGAAGTAGCTTGAACTCTCTTTGTCTATGTCAATGCTGGGCAAGCATGGCATCCATGGCTAGTGCATGGCCAGAGCAGCTGTGGGGGTGCAGAGCCTTCCCAGGCATCTGCATCACTCAGATGAGTGCTAACCCCTCAAGGGGGAACAAACAGGGTCACCTGGCTTGCCCCTCATCATGATGGGGAGATCCATCAAAAGTGATTATTCTCAGTAGAAGAACCAACTTTAATTCATGGGTGATGATTTGAATTGTGAAAGCAGGGGAAACCTTTGCAAGATCTGGAAAACTGGGTTGCCAAATTCGTAACATGAATGCATGGGTCTGCAAAGCCCATGATTCCTGAGGGGAACGGTAGAGAGCAGGCTGTGAGGATTGAGTCTCCTTTGGGAAAGATGTGGACCCAAAGTAGGGCTCAGGCTGGGATGTAAGCTTAGAGGCACCTGGAAGAATGAGGAAAAGCCAGCAGACCCTGTCTGACCTGTAGTTCTCCTATTCTGCCATAACCTCTTCGAGCCTTGGGTTTCTAAGCTGTATAGTTCACATATAAACAATAATTCGGAATATTTTTAAAGATCCATTGAGATGTACATGTTGACTGTAAACTGTGGTGTGCTGTAAAACTTGAACTGCAATTCATGAGATCATTTTTGTCTGAATCAGATCATCTGGGCTAGGCCCCATACACACAGGACCCCATCAGAACCAACCACCTGTTCCCATTGCCTCTCTAAATGACATCCACAACAGCTGCACCTCTTATTTTCATTAGGTGTTGGTGCCACAGAAGCAGTAGAAGCTGTAGAGAGGAAACGCCATAGCTCTTGATCCTAAGTAGTTCATAATCTTACTAAGAACAACAGATTTGAACGACAGAAGGTCAACTCAAACTGGGGGGGGGGGAACTGAAGAGGAAATAGGCATGGGAGAAACTGAGGCTGTGGTGAGTGTCCAGTGGTCTGGTTGGAGCCATCACTCAAGTGGAGCTGTAGGGGGCCAATGGGTGGGAGGTGGTCCCAGAGACTGGAGAAGGCATCCCCCTGCAGAAGTAACTTGGTGGCGGATTGTGGAAGCTCCAGACAAGAGCAGCTCTGAAATCATGCAGTCTGCTGGGTTGCCATGCTGGGGCTTCAGACTGGAAATCTAAATGATTCTAGGGCCACTGAGAATGGTCTTGCAGACCTCTAGACAGTGACCTGTAAATCACACTCATTAGACATTTGCATATTTATTAAGACTATCTTGTGGCCACTGAAAACCAAGTGTCTGGGAGGAAAGTGACTCTTGTTTTCCATTCACCAACCGTGCTCTATGGGCTCAGTCACTTTTGCCTGAACTCTGGCAGCACACATGGGTCATGGTGATTAATCAGAGCCCTGCCTTCTCTTTTTGCCACCACCCTCCCATCTCAGGGAAAAGGACTGGTCATGTTCTTTCTCAGGAAGGGGGAGCCCTGGTGACAGTGGGCTCAGCCTGGTAAGGCCTGTGCTGACTCGCTTCTGTGAAAGCCAAACAAACTTTTGCCTTCCTTGAGCCTTCTTATTGGTCTTGTTTCTTCACCATGTGCTATATATTTCTTTTCAAATTTCAACTAACATGTTATCTTTTAAAAACAAGATAACATAGTTTAAAAGCTGATTTGAAAGGTGCCACTTTGAGCTTTGAGTTTGCAAAGAACAAATGTCCTGCCTTCTCTCATTAGGCATTCTTCCAATTCTAAATATTTATGTTCAGTAAAGATCCCAAACCAGGCCTTCCCTGAAGCTTCCAGGCTGAAGGGAAATCCCAAGCCTTCAGGAAAGGAAGTGAGGTCATGTGGGAGGGATGTTCTCACACCACAAAGGGGATTTCTGGAGAAAGGTCACCTGCAGTGGCGAAAGCTTTCTCTTCTCAAGGGTGCATGGCCCAACTGTCCTGTCCCCTGGTCTACTGGGTCTTGCTTCTTTATTGTTCAGCATCACAGAGCCTGGGTGTTCTGGACACCTGGCAAATGTGTCCTGCTGCCCTTGGATGCGTCCTGCCGTAGGTCACTGCCTGAGATCAGGGACTGCCTGTTCAGTCATTATTCCTAGCACTTAGCACATTGCCCTGCAAATAGCTTGGCATTCCCACTTGAATGTGACATCGGGACATGAATGATCTACAGGGGTTTCTGCACAGCATGGTAGGGTGCTCTGACAGATAACCGAGAGTTTACATAAACAGAGGACTTTTTTTTGTTGTTGTTTTGTTTTTTTTTGTTTTTTTTTTTTTTTTTTTTTTTTTTTTTTTTTTTTTTTTGAGTGGCTCATCCAATTCCTGTGGCTGGCCTATCCAAAATCCTTAAGGACCAGGGAAACCTCAAGTAGCAGGTGGGAACTGGTAGTGTGGTTTTGAGTCAGAATTTCTTTTTTGCTTAAAAGGCCTTAGCTGATTGAGTGAATGCAGGCCACCCCAGCTATCAAGAGCAATCTTTGAAGTTAGCTGATGGCAGATGTCAGTAACAGCTACAAAGTACCTCCCCAGGGATATCTGGAGCAGTGTTTAATAACTGGGTATTACAGCCTAGCCGAGTGAACACATTAAGCCTAGCCTCACACCCAGTGTCACAAAACCACTTACCAACAACAACCCACCCAGTCCTGAGCAGATACCATACGAAAGATCTGGGAAACAGAACTGGTTTCACACTGTCACCTCTTCCAGCCAGCACCAGAACACTTCCAACATGCTCCCTGACCTTGCTAGTGAGGGAGACAGTGCAGCAGGCAGAATGCAAGTTACAAACTTTTATTTTGAGTGAGATAGCCTGGAGTATCTTAAGAGCATATCTGAGGCCAGCCAGACTACTATTACAACCTTAGTTGCCTGCAGAAAGAATTTAAAATACTTTCAATAAATGGGTTGTGAAATGACCCAAATATCTTCATGGCAACAAATGTCCAAACACCCTAAGCAATCTGGGTAGTTGGGGAGAATCCTGCAAGGCAACCATTATTGCCCAAGGGTTTAGAATGCCAATCAGACACCCTGGTCCCTGTCCAGATCTTGCTCTGAAGTCCTTTGGATAAATTCCCTGAGAAACTGATGGAGGGAAAGATAGCTGCCTTGGCTTGTGGCTGTCTGTTGCCTTGCCCATGGTAAATTCCACTTGGGCCGAGCTCAGGCACGGTCTAATTCTGGGGTGGTTGAAATGCATCCTGGTTGCTTCCCCAGCAGGTGCAAGCAGACAGAGAGCATCTGTTCCCTTCCACAATACTGACAGCTTTTATGAGGGTAATGTCCTTCCATGCTCTTCCCAGTACTATGCATGCTCTAATTAAAGATTGGGCTGCATCATGGCTACATTGCTCACACAACAGTGGTGGTACTGGATTTACCTCTTATTCTTGAGTTCAAGTCATTCAAGTAGATGCCAGTGTCCCTACATTTTGATGCCACATGGTCAGAGCCATTAACAAGACTCCAAAGCCCAGCTTGGAGTCTGATGTTGCATCTGCTGCTGGGGTTGGGTCATAGCAAAGCGGAGGGAGGGTAGAGGGTCTTATGGGGACAGAGAAGCAGTGGGGATGTGAGTCTACCCTGTCTGTCAGTATCTGACGAGTGGGGAGAATGAAGCATCAAACCTACAGCCTGAGAGGAGTTTAGAAAGGTGCCTGGAATGGAAAGGTTCACAGAGAAACTACAATTTGTACCTTACCTGCTTCCACATGACTTAATGTTGATATACAGAGTATTTATTAGCTTTGCAATTGAAAACCAAACCTGGAGTTTAATATCAGCAATTTCTTAACCCTGTGACAATCCAAGAGAAGCCACTAGCCCTGACACGTGAATATCCTTAACCCACTAAAATTACTCTTTAAGAGAGAAGGTGACTTCTGAGCTTCCGTTTTTTGTTGTGGAGTTTGGATCCACCTGGATGGGATCATTTATCCAGAGCACCGTTGGCCTCTTGATATCTCATGTATGATCACACTTTTGTCTGATTGGGGTTGGAGTGTGTGTGTGTGTGTGTGTGTGTGTGTGTGTGTGTGTGTGTGTGTGTGTGGTAGATGGTAGTAGCCATCAGGGTGTATAGT